AATGCATTATTGATAAAAATAATGAAAAATCTACTTTCTTCTTAATGATTTATAAGAAATTAATATACAAAGAAAAAATATAATATTAGTAAATTTATTTCTCATTAATTATAGTACATATATATATACATATATATAGTAAAGGTAAGTTTATATAAACTTGATAAGTTTTAAGGTTATCATTATTAATCTTATTATATTAGGTGCTTTCCAGCTACGTACACAGGCGACACTGTGTAACATAATGTCCACTAGTGTAAATGAGACACACTGATACACTCTTTTTCACATTAATAGGCACTGTGTTACATAGTGTCGCCTGTGTACGTAGCTGGAAAGCACCTAATATAATAAGATTAATAATTATAACCTTAAAACTTATAAAGTTTATATAAACTTACCTTTAAAGATAGGAATAAATTGTTGAAAGCCAATATTTTTTAAAAATTTCTCCATATTTTTACTAAATCACTTATTTTTACACAATCACACTCCACCGGCTTGCTTATCAATAAGCAAGAAAAGATTTGCTTTACCGCGGCAAGCAGCGTACGCATCGCGCGAAGAAATACGCTGCCTGTTCCTGCGTGTTCTAGCGAAACATTCAAGAACATTACTGCGCATGTCACTCAAATGTATCGCGTAAAAAACCGTATAAAACCGATCCCTCAACCATAGTATTTGTTCTACAAATCATAATAGAGAAGTATCATATTCTTTTGGTTGAGGCAACAATATATGCGAATATACTAATTGAATATTACGTATCATTTAAATATGGCTGTGTGAACTGTATAAATGAGCTTATGTCAACAGCAATTTTTGATGTAATATCTATTTAACTTGAACTCATATCAATTGCTTTTCTAACCATAGATAATGTGATTCTAGCAACCATAACAGTTTTCTCCGTGTAATATAAATATAATAACGTTCTCGCGCATGAAATTTTGTTTTATTTTTTTAGAAATTCTTCCACTAATAGTTAATAAAATTTTCTCATTTTCAAGAATTGCTCAGACTGATGTCCGGGGTTTACAGGATTAAGATTTATATACGTGTATATGTTTGTCAAGTTTATATACTTAATGATTCAATAATATCAATTTTACTGTAAAACACTGACATATTGTAACGGATCATGCCTGTCGAAGCGATTAGCAGAATTTCCTTCGTCGCGATCGCATCTGTCTTCCAGAGGATGAAACAGGAATTGATCGGCGCGCACGCGTTTCTGCGGCTGACGGTTCAATTATTTCCATAAGGCGAGCATCTAACTAGCTTTCACACAGTGCATTCCCGTCCACCCGACCGTCCGACCACTCATCCATCCATCCATCCATCCATTCTCCACCCGTCTGTCTGTCCGTCCGTCCGGTCGGCCAAGCTTAAAATTAGACTCTATGAAACGAACAAGCCGGAAGCTTCGCCGACCGAAGCAGCGTCAAATTTATTTAGCGCGAGTGCAAATTCCGACGGATTCATTCATTCGCGATTGCGAGCCGCGATTCGCCGAAGCGACGTTTCTTTTGCCGTTGCCATTTACAAAACTGCGCGGCGAAAATTCCGCTGGAATGCCAGCGAGAGCACCTCGGCGAAGAACGCCGCACTTTCCCGAGTTTCGATGGGAAAGTTTCCTCCGACGAGTCGATGTGTTTGCGTGCGTTAGTAGCGGCGAAAAATCGTGACGATTTGTACAGTTTGTTCGAAATTACTGAACAAAAGCGCGCCACGTTATATGGAGCGTTTTATTAAACCGGGCTTGATTAATATTATGTAATATCGCGTTGCGTTTTCGAATGCGAATTTGGTAAAGTCCGGCGTTAATTATGCCGGAGAGACGTTGTTTGCATAAAATTTCGCGCACAAACCGTGAAGTTGCAATTATACACAGAGTTTCGCACAAAGTTTGCGTAAAACTTTTCGTTATCTGTGCTATCTCGCACAACTCAAGTGTTCAGTATAAAACTTATACTCTTCGACAAATATGCAAATTGTGTATTTTTGTGCGCGTGCGCGCGCGGCTGTTACATATTTACCGAAATTATTTATTCAGTACGTGAGATAAGTTTTTGCGACGCGGCTATTTTGAGGTACGTCGTAAGAAAGAAATAAAGACGAAACGTGAGATCTGGTCTTGCAACAGTACGCGAGAGACGGTGGGTGGTTGACAAGGGTAACTGTCCAGCTCAACAACTCGCGTTCGCCGCGTGTGTACGATGTCGTAAGCGGGGCGTCATAAAAGAAAATCGTTAGCACGTCGCGGCCTGGTGGAAACGTGCCAAAGCTGACATCAACTCGCGCCCCTGCGCCGGGAGTAGTAATTAGTCGGGAACACGGTCTTTAAATTCGCGGTCATTCGGAGAAAGAGAGAGATTGGGATCGTCGTGACAATAGAGGAAAGCGGAAAGCTCGTACAAATTATCAGTCGTATACGACGACGGAACAAGCGGCTCTAAGTTCCGTGTCACCAATTTTCACGCGCCGCACCGATTGGCACAACCCAAGACTTTTCAATTTTCTCGAGCTATTCTTAAGGCTCGATGAAATGCCGTTAAGTGTGTTAAGTGTGTGAGGTATTCAAAATATACGTGCGGCGTGTCAACGCACTCGGGGGATTTCAAATCAAACAGCGATCGAGTTGCGAGCACCGCAAAACCGCCGAGTGGGTTTATTGTTCGCGCGTCTCTGTGCCGATTCCAGCCGTAAGGTTTATACGTTCGGCGCCGCCGCGGCGTCAACTATTCTCTCCCCGTCTTTCGTAAGCATTAGATCAACCCCCCTTTTGCGGTCTACCCGACTAGACACACGGTGGTTTATAACGATCGTATGCGTACACCGAGAGCCACAAGGTGGGATAACCTTCGAGGGAGTCTTATTTACTTGTATCAGCGAGCGAGCATCTTGCGATCGCGAGAAGAATATGTTTCGCGCCGACGCCAGACGGAATATATATGACGACGCGCGTCATTTTTAATCTCCTCGCGCCATTCGTTTTCGGTAGGCTGGCGCATTCCGCGTGCTCTCGGGACATCAGCTCGCGGCGGAGTGTAATGGAAGTGCGAAACACAGAACGGGAAGAGAGAAAGAGACACGAGAAACACGCGCGAGATAAGTAATAATTTCGCCGCAAGTGGAATGCGCGATGGAATTGAAGCCGAAGCAAAACGCGCGCGATCAGCAGGAGACTTGGATTCCGCGCGAAGAAAATAAAAAAACAACTTAAAAATCGAAAACTATTAACGTGTACGTGCAAGTATCCAAAAACCAATCTCTGGAAAATATTTTTTGAATGAAAATTATGTTTCGAATTTTTATCGTCTAATTTTCATTTTCGACTGCCGAAATAATGAAACGGAAGAAGAAAAACCAAAGGTTTGAGAACCTCTGCGCAGCAGGGCCGCGCGCGCGAGAACTACGCGCTAAGGATGAAGGAAGGCGCAACAACAATATCGTCCTGCCCTTGCTATAACACACGCAACCAGGGGGTAACGTCCTGTTACACCAGTCTGACCACTTCGCGCGTCCCTCTTCTTCCCTGACCCTTCGCCATCTCTTCGCGAACCGTTTTACTTCGCGTCGGCTTTGCTTTCGCCGCGGCCAACAAGCGAAAACCGCGGCGACCCGCTTTCCGCAACGTTGCGATCTCATTCAGCGCTCGTTTGTCGCCGCGTACAAGCGCGACGTGACAACGACGTTCCTTGTTTTTTTTTCACGCTAATCATCCACAAGAAGAAAATATCGCAGCGACGGCGATCTCGATATGAATGGCGGATTTTGTTACGTAGAAAAAAAAAAAATAAATCTTTTGATTAAGCCGAGTGGCCGTTACTCACCAATAACGACGTTTGATGCAGCCTCCGCGATGAATCAGCGCTCAGCCTGCACATAATCAAGATAACAGCGATTTAATAGGCGTGTACACATCGAGTCGAATTATTATAATTAACGTCTCGCGAGCCAACATCTCGTATCTTTCCAGTATTATGCGCGAAGGAGGCGCGCGATAATTTGTAGTGTGTGGATATATATAACGTCATCTTGTGTACTAAAAGTTTCAGACTGTGCGAGAGTTGAGATTTGATCGCGACGAACTTTAAATTAGACATTGCTGATAAAATAGCGAAATTATCGGGCAACAAGTTATATAACGTGTTTACACATGCGTAAAAATTCCGGCAAACTTTAGATAAAGTACAAACGCTTTGAACATAAGTGAATGTGTGTTTCTAACACAAGACAAAGTTAGGTTCAAGAGTGCGTTACGTAAAAGTAAATTGGTTAATTTAATTTGTTATGTATTCGCGCTAATTAACGCGGCGTAAGCACTTTGCTATTAGACTAATTAGGATAGCAAATTAAACGATTGCGTTTATGCGCTAATAATAATAATAAAAAATTGTTCGCGAGACGAGAGAAAATCGCGTCTCGCTTCATCGGCACAGGAGTACGCGTTTACGCATCCATCTCACGTCCGAATGTATATAGTACGTCTCGTAAAACTACGAGAGAGATATAGCATCGCGGAGAGTATCGCGCGGTCACGTGTGTGTCTGTGCGTGCGTGCGCGCGCGCGGAATTAATTATAACTACACTCATCCAATTATTTATCGCGAAATAATGACAGGACTGACTCTCTTAAATGGAACGTAAACTCCGTATTTCTGCGAGAAAAAAACACAAAATAAAACGGCGAAAGAAATAGATAAATCGACTCGTGAATATTTACGCGCGATATCATATCTTCTCTCGTATTATGTCATCTCGTTAATTTTGTTAAAATATCTTCGATCTCTTAGACCAATCCTGCGGCGATTAAAAATATCGCGAGATGAGCGAGTAGGTTCGATAGATGATAATTTGGTAATGTCAAAGGCGACGTGTTGCCGTAATAACGAAGGACGTTGACGCAAACGTAAATATCGCTCACGTAAGAAGAAAAAAAAACGAGTAATGCAAATCGAGTATTGCAAATTGAATCGATTGTCGCCGTCCCGCTCCGCACCGAGATCTCAAGGATAAATCCAATCGAAACCTTGAAGAGCACTTTTCCGAGATCACTGTCACTATACGTACGTGTGTACTAGATGTACATGACAAAGCGCGAACTTCACTCGTCGACACGGCTCGCGCGAATCACGATCCAGCGCACTTCAAGGTTAAAAATTCCAGACGCCCCCTCTCGGGATAGGTCAGGGATAATGAAACGTGCCAAATGCAGCGCAGCGACTGCACTCGAAGAGAGAAAGAGAGAGAGAGAGAGAGAGAGAGAGACAGAAAGAGAGAGTTCATTCACCCCTGCGAGAGTGATCTTTCGCACAATAAAGGGAAGGGGGGGGCAGTCATCAAAGACGAACACGGACGTGTGTTCTCCCGCGCGACCTTCCGTTTCCGGTTCGTTATTTTTGTTCACCCCGGGGAGGAGAACACCGTAGTCGTAACACACGAACCTCGATGAAAACGTCGGTTCCGACGCGAAGTGGAGCATCAACAACTCGGGTGTATCCTCCTTATCCTGACCTGCTCAAGAATGGCGCGGGGGAGTGAAATGCGGAGACTTCGCGCGAGTGGATCTCGCGTGCAGACGCGGTTGCGCCAGAACTGACACTAGACCGAGAAACACAAGTAAACTTCGCCAAGTGGCGGAGACTCGTTCCTCTCCGACGAGGCGCGCTCGTCCACCTCTTCCTCGTCGCGAGGAGACGCAAGCACTGGTGGGGCGAATATCGCGAAGGGAAACCGCGGGGACCGAAGAGAGAAAGGAGAGCGCGGCGTGTTAGCGTGTGTGTGTGTGTGTGTACATATATATAGTGTGTATGTGTGTTGTGTGCGCGCGAGCGAACGCGGCGCGGTAGCGTCGAACTGCAACGTGCGCGCGAGTAATGCGGATGCATCGCGACGCGAGGGACGGAGACGGAGAAATGTGGAGCGAGAGACGAAGAAGAGCGGCGAGAGTGAGAAAGTCAATGAACGAGACTGGCGAGAGATCGTCGCGCGATGAAAATTTCACGGCTGGCACAAAGCGCCCCGGCGGCTTCTCGCTCGCTCGCGCGGTTGTGATGGTCAAAAACCACACAAGATAAGATTCTTATACTCGCGCGCAGGTCAGAATTTTTTGACGTCGCGTAAAAATGTAGTATATCGTGTGTCTTTCGAAAGAAGAGAACGCGTGTTCCATAAACATGACTTCTGTATATATGCCGCGATTACGCGCTGCTTACGTGAGCGGCGAGCGCGCGCTCCGACCAACCGTGGAACTTGACACCATCAAGATTAAGCGCGCAGCTTGATGAGGGCAGCGATGAGGAATGCAATGTGCGCCCGGCGCGCAGCGGGAGACACGAAGACAATGATCGGAGACGTTCTTCTGATAAAAAAAAAAATAAAACAAAAAACACTTTGTGAAGCGAGAATAACAAGACAATTCTGAACTCTTTGCTCGAACGAACTTTGCTTAACGTCAAAACGACAGAAACTATGACGTCGGAATAAGAGAATTTTTTTTTTTTTTTTTTTTATTTCAAGATCGCGATATACACGCGCTCACTTTTATCAACTTGAAATTGCAATACGATTTTTTTCGCGGATTAATCGAGAGAGCGACGTAGGTATCACACAAAACATTTTTTTTAATCTCACCGCACAGGTTCAAGTCGCGCGCGAATGAGAGATCTTCTCTTTGTGTCGGTGTCCGCGATAAGCCGACACACAGAGTGAGACGAGACACTCGGTGACTCGGAATTGTCAAGACGCGACGCGGTGTCAGGTGGCACGTTTTTGACGTACCTGCAGAGCAACTGACGTGGCTGTCTCGGATTCACGCGGTGTCGAAGAGAATAGCTCGTCGTCGACCGAGTTTTCCCGTTCCGCCGTTCCCTGCACGACGACGAGAACAAACGACGGGCACTACACGAGGGGGGGCGCGAATTACGATGCGGTAATAGAAACGCGATATTATCCCGAGCACAAACCGGCCGAGAAGAAGGCGAGGCACCGCGGCGCGAAGTCACACGCGTAACGGCGGTTAGCGCGATGCATGACATGCGTGTCGCACTCGGTAACGGCGCGAATGACTTGGCGTGTGTGCGGAAGTATATCGATCAGCTGACGGTCGGGCGGATACTGGGCCGCTTCGCGGAATTCACCATATTGTTGCGTCGGCACGCATGCGCCTAGAGAGACCCTCGTCCCTTCGTTCTGTCACAACTCCCGTTCCTCTCCACCCTTCAGTTCCCTCCCCCTCACCCCAAACATCCCTCTTTTCTTCCCTCACCGCCCTTTCTTCTTCGCCCTCTCGTCCCAATATCCTCGCCCAACTCCCCCGCGGTTTCGTGCATACAGGGTGATTCAGCAGGAACTGCGATAGTTGCGGAGAACACGCGGGGGAAGATTCTTGATGAACTCTCGCTGCGTTTCTCGCCAGTTTGTCGACAAATAAAAAGGATTTTCCGATCAGCAATTAAAGAAGAGATACCACGGAATAAATGAAACTCTCGCGGAAAGTTTTTTTCCAGTAAACAAAAATCGCGAGAAAACGCGAGAAGAGGAAAAAAAAAGCGAGCCTCACGATCGAAAGCCAGAACGGAATCGAACTCGCGTCTCGTATCTCGCGGCGAGTTACGCGAGCGCGTCTCTTCGCGGTTTTCACGAACATCCGATTGCTCTCCAACTTTTCCCGTTAGCTCTCTCTTTCTCTCTCTCTCTTTCTTTCTATTTCCCAAGCGAGCATCGAGAGAGCTTTTTCACTTCGATATATTACTCCTCAATATGCTAACAGCTCAGTCCCTACTTCATCATACCGTCTAAATTACATTATCGTGTTACATAAATTTGTTTCTTCCCCTCCGCTGTCCCCCTTCACCACTCTCTTTCTCTCTCTCTCTCTCTCTCACTCTCACTCTATTTCCTTCCCGGGATTTTCCATATCCGACTGCGTTTTTCCCGCAGATGCATTTTCATCGCATGCCTGCGTCGTGCATCGCGCGGCTCTACGACTTTCTCCGGTTTCTGTGTAGATTTCCGCGTTTCCCATTTTCATTGCCCGGTAATTCCCCCGTAAGTAACTTCGTGACTCGGCGAGGGAAAAAAGAAAAAAAACCGCATGCATCTTATTTACGCGAGAATGTCCGGTCGAATGCGCGCGAAACACAGCGCGGCGAAGAAAATTGTTGCTTCGACGATCGCGAACTTAAATTTTCGTGTTTCAAGCGCGAGCGCAAAACGCAGAAAGGAAAAAAAAAGCGGCTTTGGTATCGATCTGTTTTCTGGAGGACATTTTGCTGGTCACACACAGAGAAACTCGCACGATCAAAGAACCCGGGGAGTAACGACGAGCGAATAATACTCGCGCGGGGGTGGACGGACTGATTAATATTCGGTAAATATGTGAACTATACGCCGGTCGCGATCGATCCTCCGGTTTTTCTCGTGTTTAAATTACGTCTGTCCGCTTTCCATTAGCGCGCTCTGCCGAGGTATTAACGAACCGTAACGAACACGAAAGAATTGCTTTTTGCGAGCGACGGTCAAACAATGTTGCAAAATAAGCGGAATCGCAAACAACCAGATTGCAGTGTGTTAAACGCGTTGAAAAAACAAAAACTGACTTCTAATCACGCTTTTTTTTTATTTCTGTATCTCTATCTCTATCTCTATCTCTATTTCTATCTCTCTCTCTAATTAATTTCAACATGCGCGCGCGATTGCGCGTTATAATAATCAAAAACCTCGTTTGCAATTACGCGAACATTATTGAGAAGACAAGCTCGATAGAGATACTAGACGAGAGTAACCGGCGTAGCTTATGCCCGGGCATGTTAAATAATTACTGGTATCAGCGGCAACGCGTAATTGTCGGTTATCGCAATAACGATAGCTCGCGG